GTGAATTTTCATATGTAAGGGAGAGGCAGGCTATGCAACCAAAACAGTGAAAGACTGTTTTTCAATTAGATTACTATGCCCCACCCTAATTTAGCAAAGGGTTGTTTCGAAAGTTACTACATATGGTATTTGTTGTTGTCTTCCAGTCATTTCCAACTCATAGAGCCTCTATAGGTCAAAACAGAACTACTCCATTATAGCCTAGGATGTCCTAGACTATTATTTTGCAGAGCAGATTATCTGGTAATGGAGAGTAAAAAAATATGAGCTTTATTAACAAGAGAACTTGAGTTCCAATTGTCTTCATCAATTAATCCAATATTATATTTTTATTTTGACAATTTTAAAAAAAATCAGAAAAGTATTGTATGCAGAATACACTTATTTGCAGATTCTAAGTACTAAGTAAAATTTATAAAGCCACTCTGCACATTTCAGTTAAACACACTAAGCCCTTCAATTATACTTGTTAGGGTTTTTTTAAAATAAATTATTATATAGAGTTAAACAGTATTGTACCATAAACTTCTCTTTTCAGCATAATGCCTAAGAGCCTGAAAATGAAATAGAACACACAAAGTGCCTTTGCATGGATAAGGGTCGGTGCTTCTAAGACAGTGCCCCAGATAAACAGAAGTTCTAAGAAACACTGACTTAATTTCACTTATTTTAGAATCAGTAGCTAAAATGCCATTTCAAACTTTAAAGATAATAAATGAAAGAAGAATAGTTGCCTTAACTACATAGACTGCATTATAAGCTTAGCCATCATATAGACCACTCAGCACATAATCCTCTTGCTCATCTTCCCTTCACACTCTTAATACATAATGGATAATCATTTGTATTCTTCAATAATGAATAAACTTAAACCAACCACAGTAAAAAAAAAAAAAGAATCAAGCAATCAAGTTCTTTAAAATATTTTTTTTAAAAATATATTTCACTTCACCAAAAAAGACATTCAGCTGGCAAACACACACATGAAGAAATGTCCAAAATCCCTAGCTCTAAGAGAGATGCAAATCAAAATAACCAAGAGATATCATCTCACCCCAGTAAGAATCGCAAAATCCAACAGAACAGAAAACAACAAATGCTGGTGAGGCTGCAAAGAAACTGGAACCCTTATTCACTGTTGGTGGGAGTGTAAAATGGTGCAACCACTATGGAAGGCAGTATGGTACTTTCTCAAAAAGTTGGAAATAGAAATACCATTTGACTCAGCAATTCCACTACTGGGAATATACCCTAAAGAAACCAGAGCTGCCACCCTAGCAGATATATGCACACCCATATTTATTGCTTCGTTGTTCACAATCACAAAGAGTTAGAAACAACCCAAGTGCCTATCAACAAATGAACAGATAGAGAAGCTGTGGTATATTCACATAATGGAATATTATGCAGCATTGAAAAACAAAAAAATTCATGAAATATTACACAAAATGGGTGACCAGAGAGGACATTATGCTGAGTGAAATATCTCAGTCACAAAAAGACAAATACTGTATAATGTCACTATTATAGAACAGGACTGACATGGGAGTTGGAAGGAAACCAAGAAAAGAGGGGATAAAGAATGTACATGGCATTGAAACAGACGAGGGAGAGAACTGTATAAAAGGAATATATGATTAGGTATTATTGGCATGACAAAAAAAAATCTCCAAAGAAAAAAGTGAACTGGGCAGGGGGGGTGGGCAGGGAGGAAAATGTGCAATAATGAATAAATGGAAATCCAAGTTCTCTATATACATTCATTAACATCTCAATTTAAAAAACAAACCCATATTTGAAGTGAGCCGTATAGTCACAAACTCAGTCAGGAATAACCTGATTGAAGTCTCTGCAGAATTATGTCACTGCTTTCTTAGATACTAAAATAACTGAAAAGGTAATAAAAGTCCTTACATATGTTTAGGATTTCTGCTGGTATTGAATGAATGGAGTCTATATCTACATTCTAGAAAAATGAAAGCAAAAAATCAAAACTAAATTATAGACCATTCTGCTGAAAATGTGTTTAGTATTTATTGTGAGAAGAGTACTAAAATATCGCATGGACTGCCAAAAGAACAAATAAGTTTTGCACAAAGTGCAGAGTGCTTCTTGCAGGCAAAGATGACAAAGCTCACATACTTTGGACATGTTGCTAGGAGAGGCTGTTTCTTAGAGAAGGACATCATGCTTGGAACGATAGAGGCTCAATGAAGACAGGAAGGCCCTTTATGACATGGATTGACACAGTGACTACAGCAATGGGCTCAAGTGTGTTGGAGATAATGAGAATGGTACAGGACAGGACAGAGTTCAGATCTATTGTTCACAAGGTTGCTATGATTCAGACTCAACTAGATGACAGCTATCAACAATTATTTTACATAAAGTAACTAAGCAGCTTGAAAAGTTGCCATAACCATGTTTTTCCTAGTGGCAGAGCACAACAGTTTAGAAGTATAGAAATTCATGCACACCTTCCTATATACAAATATATTCTGCCTGCTTGAGAAATCTATACATGTATATATATGAATGTATGTGACACATGCACTGGTTTTTGCAGACATCATTTTATCTAGATTTTTCATGACATGTTCTTAGAGTAAAATTAATCTTTCAGTAGAGCTGCAATGACAGGATTTAGAAGTCCCTTTTAGGGTACTCCTTAACTTTCCAAGGTTATCATGATAGACATAACAGCATAGCTTCCAATATAGATAAGCTACACAGAAATAATAACTGTTAAAATACATCTTCAGATTAAGAGCAATGCAGAAGCGAAACTCTTGGATTCAAAGTGAGAAACATGAACATACATTGCCCAAAAGACTGGCAACTAAGTTTGAAGGCCATTGGTAGGCAAATTAATTTCTCTAAGTCTCTACTTGCCTTTTTTAAGGATACAGAACCATTCAAGTCTTGAAAAGCATTTTAAAAACAGAAATAAGTAGACTAAAAGTAAATATATCAGTTCCATTTCAGTCTTTACGGCAATAGGAAATCTGTCCAATTTCATTTGCAAGGATCTGATGGAAAGCAACTATTTCCATAGTGTCACCTCTAATTCATACCAGTGCTAAAAGATAACATCCTTCATTAGACAAATTTGGCAAACGCAGAGACATAGTGTCATTTCAGCCCCCACATTAAGTCTTTGTTACAGTCCTCTTTTCAATTTAGGCAGCTCAGACAAGCTTTGAGCTGAGATCCAGGGATGGCACATTAGATGATACCAGTAAGAAAATCATTAATGGATATTAATAGATGTTACCACCTTTAAAGAAGGCACTTCAGTTGCTGTCTGCAAAACAAGAAGTGCAAGACCTTCCACTTGCCCATGAAAGATAAATATATAATCAGAATGTATATGGATACATTTTAAAGAAATACTATATGAAATTCAGTTGGAAAAATATATTGCTTCTAGACAAGATTTTTTTTTTTGTCCCCCTGAGGAGGGCTGCCCACATGAGCTTTTAGCTGAAGAGTAATACTCTTTCTATTTTTGTTTGCCATACTCAAAGAGTAAATACATTCTGAATTAATGAAAATTATTTAATCTTAGGGCAATATAGGCCTAAACAAATTGAGATTGAGAGCACTAGTAATCTCAATTTATATAGGCCTTGATTTAAATTACTAGATTCAACATGCTTTGCTAATAAGATCAGACCCCATAGCGAAATGATGCCCTATCTCTCTTTTAAAGCAATTTCCTAAAATCTGAGTCTAGGCCATGAGTCTAGAATTATTCACCCCTCAAATCATATTAACAATGTTTGACATGATGACATAGAGAGCAAAAAGAATTCATTTCTGCCAAATACAGATTACACTGTCGTGTTGGTGTTTTTTTTCTTTTTCTTCTTAAACCATCCTCTTCTTATTCCATTTTGGTAAATTTCTAAAGAATGTTTAAAATCCATAGGATAGACCTTGGCTTAAGAGGTGGCTTCTCTGCCATTTTCATGGCTGATTTGAGACCCACTCTGCTTTCGATTTTGCATTGTGAAATCCAGTCTGGGGACAAATTTCTGCCTGTCATCTTAGGAAAAGGCCAGGAGTTTTACACCATCCTGTAGTATGAAATCATAAAATCAAAGCCAGTCTAGGGCTGCTTGCATCTTTCCTGATCAGCTTGCTGCTTTCTCTCAAGCAATTCTGGCTGTCACTATGTCAAGGTTGGGAAGGTGTTTAGTATAATAATACATAATTTTAAAAGCACCTCTCCAGAAAAAAGTTCCTTTTTACACTTCAAATGGAATGCAGAAAGGTAACCGGTAAGTAATCGTTTATTGCTTAGCGAGGAACCATTGAATGGAAGAAGCATTTAAAAAGCACAACATTCTTTCTTAACGGATAAGACCCTAAATCAGACCCTGAATCAGAAGTCATGCAGCCCTGATATTTTCCTTATATTGCTCATTCTGTTGCAATGACATCCCCCCAAAAAACTAGTTTATGGACCAAATTTGCTGTGCCCCTCTTCCAAAAATAAGATGTAAATTGAAGCAATACGAAATAAACATTCTTAAACAGATCATTAAAAAAGACAGCAGGAATAATTCTTGTCAATGACCTCTCCTGTGTAATGTCAATTTCAGAAACCAAGTTTCCATTGTAAATGTTTAATCAGTATGGTCCCAGGAACCTAGCACAGAAAGCAACAACAACAATAATAACCCCAAAACCCCTATCCTCTCTCCCAACTTATTTGCTCTGCAAGCTCTTTCCTAGCTCTATCTCAGCTCCCTGCAAATACTTTTAGGCTCTTCTCTCTCAAAGGACCAGGGAGTTCTGTAGATTCTGAGCTAAGCTCTGTGGTTTGATTCCATTAGTCTGAGCTGTGGTCTGCTGCACGCAAACTGCAGCATTTCTGCTTGCAAAATCCTGGCAACCAGGTTCTCCACCAGCCAACACAGGCTGCATACATTCTTCAGCGCTGCTCTGCCCAAACCTTGCCTGAAGTCGGTCAACCACAGGAGAAAGCATCCTACCTTCCATCATGGTGGCAGAATTGCATTCCTTAATTTCCAAGGAGTCTGAAAAATCACAAGAGGATACGATTCCAGGTCCCACTTAAGTCCTCACTACGCAGCTTTCGACGTCTGCTCTGTTAGCTGCTGAAGCCAAAGGAGACAAACGTTAACCCCATCGGCAGGCCATGGATACTGCTGGTGCCGCTTCACCTACAGGCTCTCAGGAAGATGCTGAGAGAGAAAGGCAGAGGAAGAGCAAGCCGGCTGAGCTGCACCGCCTGCGCTGTCTCGGCCAATCCCTTCAACTCAGGACCGCGTCACATGGTAGCCAGCCTGCATCTCCTGACACAATACCCCCGGAGAGCACACAAGAACCTATTTCCCGTCCCCATTCCCCGCCACCCCCATTCCCTCCTGCTTGTCACCAAATACACAGCCCCTTCCCCACCTGGTGACGCACTTCCCCAGCCCCTCCTCGCTGCCTTGCTAAGCCTATTGCAGCTGCTGGGTGCCCGAGATTAATTATCAGACGCTGCCACCTTAACTGGGGACTCTGGCTTGGAAGAATCACCTAAGTGGCTCGCAGGCAAGGGGATTTTTTTTTTTTTTAAAGAAAAACTTCCTTAAAAAAATCCGTGCTGTCTGAATTCTTAGCAGCACTCAGAAGCTCCCATTGCCATCTTGTGTCCCTAAAGGAATTCCAATTTTCAGTGACGATGTCCTCTGAACAGTCTGTCTGTCGGTCTGTCTCTCTTTCTTTCTTTTTCCCTCCCTCCTCCCCCATTCAAGAGAGAAAAATCAATCTGGCTGACGTCACATTATAAACAATTATCCCCAAAAGGATGATGCAGAAGAAATTTCACCCCAGCTGCCTTCAAGAGAGCCAGGGAATTAATCGCCCATGACATGCCGAATGGGCTGGGAACTGTCATTAAAACAAAGAAACAAAAGAACCCACCCGAGTTGGGGCTCTGGAATCAAACTGGCAATGCTTGAGATAATTTCTGGGGCGGGAGGCTGCAGAGAGGAGAGAGCAGGAAGGAAAGGCCTTAATCCAACCAAAGGCAGCTGTACTGCTTCTGCTAACCTGGGCTCGCTGGTCCCACCAGAACCAGACCCAGAGGGACGCCACTGGATCCCCGGGTTCGGGTCCTGGTTCTAGCGCGTCCTCCGGGCCGCGCGCACGCGTGAATGGCCTCTCTTCCGCAGGTGGGAGGGCAGAGCGTCTCTCGCAACCAAAAGTGGCTGCAGCTGCCAACAGTACTCTCTGTAGGAAACAGATTCTTCCAAAGGACACGTTTTTCTCGACGTGCCTCCTGCATCTGTAATCGCTTTCAAACCCATTCGTTCGCCCCAATGGAAATCCGGAGGGAGGCAATTGTGTCGGCTGTAGCCTGAGGGGTAGGCGGAGCCCAGGGTTTTGGCGTTCTGGAGGATGCGTCTGGGTACCCAGCAGCTGCCTACATTGGAAGGGTGAGTGCACTGGGCTGCTTGGGGAGACAGCCTGTCTCCTGACTCTTGTTCCGAGGGTTCTCAATGGAGTTTCAACCGCTCAGGTCCCAGATCTAGAGATCCTTGATTTCATTACAGCTGACCCAGACATTCAAGAAAAAAGGAGGGGAGAACAGGCGCTGGACAGGGGAGAAGAAGAGGAGGAGGAGGAAGATGAGAAAGTAGGTAAAAGACTCTTCAGAACTTTGGGGAAAAGACGACAGCTAAGTGGGCATTCCTCTATACAAAATACAGCAACATGACTTGAGGGAGAGGCTAGCCTATTTCAGGGCATTTGTGACCAATAAGTGGTAATGTATTCAAAACAGTTTTGAGAAGGAAGGTGCATTGCATGATCACAGCAAAGTCTGTGATATTAATATTTAGAATTATATAGTAAGTCTGTCTATGGACTTTTAACCTTGTCCAGCACTTGATAAGGTCTCATTTTTTTTAACCAAAGCTCATGTAAGGTCTTAATGGCTGAGAACTACTGAAGGAAAAAGGCTGACTGAACTAGCATATTAATAGTTTTAAAAAACAAAAACCCAGTTCCTTAGCAACTTAGGAGTTTCAAAAAAACCGAAACAACCAAGCCTCAACAAAAAACAGTGATCCCCGAGGACAGTGTTTCATCGGCCTTTACAGTTGAAAATGAAACTCTCTAGGGAGATCGAAATCCTTTTGCGTTCTCCGTAACATCAATGAGACAGTTATATTTTAGTAGAGGGGAAAAAAATCCTAAGGGAAACCTGCTTTGAGTATAATTTAAGCTGTTTGGAAAATTGCCTGTGGGGTTATGGCAAACAAGATTGATTAATGTGTGTGTGAAAGTAGCTCCCCCGCCCCAATAGTCGAGGTGATGTCAGGCTAGGATCAAGTTTTGTTTCCACCATTTAATGAGCTGTGTAATTCTGAACAAATTAAGTAATCTCTTCATGCCTCACAGTTTCCTAAACTGTGAAATGGGGATAATAATACCAACTTCAAAGAGCTATAAATAGTAGTCATAATAAACATCCATGAATGTTTGCTGTTTACCAAACTACATCATAGTCTGTCAGCAAACCACTTTACACTGTGTCTGGAGCATAAATAAACCTTACATGCTATCTTAGTAATATTACTATTATTTCCACCAAAAGGAAGGTAGATGCATCAAAGAGTTTACACATAACTAAGAGTCAGTCCACATGTACAACTAAAACAACTGTTGAGGGTTATTCCCAAGGGGGAAAGTCCATCAAGGTTCATGTTCACAAACAGACTGAAAGCTTGACCCAGAGATAGACCAAAAGACATTCATTTTACTCTATTGGGACAATGCTATAAAGATGCAGGAGTGGCTAACCGGGAGAATTTTTTGCTAAGAGTATTAGGTAAGTAACCAACTACTTCTATCTGTACACAAACAACTCTCAACACATGTTTAGGTTGAAAGCATAGATTGATGAAATGCAGAGCTTAAGGAAAAACCATTATCTGCTTGACCTTTATCTAGGACTGTAAGCATGGCTAGAAACAAGAAGGGCAAGGGTCCATCTGCCCAAGAGCTGTTCACAAAGACAAAGTGGAAAAAAAAAAATCTAAATACGCCACTAGCTCAGTTTATATGCGGCCACTTTAGGGTATTTGATAAGCTGCAAAATAGAATGATTGGAACCAATTGATTAATAAGAAAAGTCAAAGAAATGGAATTTTAGAGTTTGGAGACAAATTAAAATGGGCTATTAGTTTTAGTAAAAAAAGATTTTTCCAAGTAAGAAAAAATACTCAGGTAAAATTTCAAGTTAATGCAAGAGCACTGATGTGAGATGCTTGGGAGCCAATACCTTAGATGCAAGGAGCTCAAGTAAGCCCAAGCAGCCCAATCTGTACCCCTTTGTTCATTTACTTTAAGTTTTCAAGGTGTTAGAGCAAACTTCAAGATTAGCATGAGCAAACACACTGGTTTTGTTTTTAGACAAGGCAACTAGCTAAAGCAGAAATCAAGCTCAAAGATTCTTTTGTTTAGGAGAATATTTTTTGTTTATTTGGGATATTTTTGTTGTTTATTTTTAAGAAAGATGAAAGTGAATGTTTTGTAAAAAGACCAAAACAGCAATACATAGTTAAAAGCAATGAGGCTGACACTGGGTTAAACTTTGCTAAAACTTTGTCAGCTGTGTGTCTTGTGTATTAAAAGAACAAGTAATGACCAACTGTAAGGACACTGAATGTAAAAATTCCTATTTCAAATATAAACATTTTTCAAGTGCATTTTCATAATAGATGTCATTGTTGTTATGCATTTTCCAGTCAGAACCCATAGCTGGCCTTGGGGGCCCAGTTTTCACAGACAGTTAAATGCAAGGGAGGAGATTGCCCGTTCACCTCCCTCAGTGCAGACTGATAGATTCCAACATCATTTCCTCATTTCCTTTTGTAAAGGGTGGTTTTTCTCAAGAGCAAAGATAATAGTTTACATTGTGGCTCAAATTTTGTCACTTACAGGTTCATTGTTGTTTATCAATAAATACCAAAAGGATCTCTAAAAGAATTTGTTTCAAGTAGGTGAAAGAATACAAGCCCATATTTACCATACTATTGGTTCAAATCACAGAACTTAAGCTTGAATTAACTAGGAATAAAAAGGTGATTTATTGAAATAGTTTACAGAATTTTAAGAAAATTCAACAGCTGAGAAAAAGCAGAAACTAAACACACTAGGAAACTTGGCTTTCAAAATCTAGGACTCAGACTTTGCTTCTCATTGTTTCTTTGAGGATGTCAATTATTTTCTATTACCAGTTTTCCCCCATGTGATCAATGATCTAGCTTTTAGCATCCTCTAAGTTTACATCTTCACAACCTGACAATTAAAGATGTATTTAAAAAAACAAACAAACAAAAACAACAAAAAACCAACAAACCAAACTCCATAAAACAAATAAAGATCCAGGGAATGACTGAGTAGCCTGGCAGTGGGTTATTGTTCACCTTTGACACAATCAACAATGACAAATTGATGAGTCTCATGATGGACTTATTTAGATCTAAGTTTATACTGAACTTGTTTTTATTGATATATTCTCAATGGAGAACGACTCAAGCTAGCCATCCAGTGGGTTTTCCGAGGTGGTTAGTCACATGGGAAGAGATTACTCATCACAGGAGTCCTGTGTCACAGTTTGGGAGCCCCGTGCCACTGGAATTTGAGTGAGGGTTTTAAAAACACTGACAAACAGACTGCGGTCCCTATGCTGATGCACTGTGCTGGAAGCAATGCCTAGAACTTGAGTGAGGTACTTTGGAGGTGGGGTGTCACTGCTATTTGGTTAGATCACAGGGAACCCCTTAAGGTCAGTCAGAAGGGAATGAGACAGCTGGAACTTGTTCTCAAAGGGAAAAACAAGAAAGGCTTCCTGGTTTTCTAGTCAGGTTTCCACACTCCACCTGGCATCTCCTCATGTCCTATGCATTAACTACCTTTAGCCCAGAGCACCTTGGGCTACCCTAGTTGCAGCTGTTGGCTGACAGAGGAGGCTGCATTCAGAGGCCTTTTCTCTACCAAACTGAAGCAGATATTCCCTTGGGAGAAGGCAGAAAGAAACACAGGCAGGGTAGCTGCTCCAGCCATTTCTGGAGCAGTGACTTCAGATCAAGAACATGCTATAGCCTCAGACATAAAAAACTATCACAACAATGTAATATAGAAATCAGCCTATCTTACCCCCCTACACAAGCTCAAAGCAAGATGTCACCCCTA